AAATTTGACCATGACCTTGTACCGGTTTTTCTGACCTGGTGACCTGACCCAAGGTCACCCGGACCTGAAATTTTCAGGTCATATGTAAAAAGGTTGCCCCATAGGCTGTGCCAAATTTGGCGGCGCCCGTTTTTACGCTATCTTCGAAAAACCTTAGGGGGGTCGCATCGACCCCCCCCCCCCCCCCTGCCAGGGCGAGGGTTAACCCGCGCCCCGTTGGGCTCTGCCGAGCAACGCGCCCCGTTGGGCTCTGCCGAGCAACGCGCCCCGTTGGGGGGGCCATTTTGGCCCCCCCCTAAGATCTCGAGAACCACGCAACGTAGCGACAAGCGGTAAACGGTGTTGGATAGCCCTATCAGGGAACTACCTTGTGACCCAATTTTATTGACCTAGGTCAAACCGATGACGTCGCAGGTCAGGTCAAAGGTCCAATTTTCACCGTTTACAGGCATATCAAGAATTGCGTTGTACAATCGAGTAAAATGCATTTCAATGAAAATCATCGATGGGGAAATGTTCTTCAAACACATATTTTGCTAGTTGAGGTCACTGATACCAGGTCAGGTCACAGAGGTCAGGTCACTGGGGGGTCACAATATGAAAGTGTCGTGTGATACATGTTTTATGGTCCATTTTACATGACAAATGCGATTATGTGGGTCAGGCAGCCTTTGGGGCCAGCTTAGGTCACGTTTTGGTCAAGGTCAGGTCAAGGTCAGGTCAAGGTCAGGTCAAATTAGGTCAAATTTCAAAGTTGATATTTTTGCATAAAATGGGTATCGAATCGATGCAGCTCGTCACGGGGAGTTCAATGGTCGTCTTTGTTTTGCCCTACGAGGTATAGAATCGCTAAAAATTGAGTTCAAAAATTTGACGTCATCATTTTTGAACAGTTTTTTCGCTATAACTTGGCCAAAAAACGAGATATCGATCTGAAATTTGGTATGTATATAGAAGAGCGCAGGGACTATCACATATATACCGTTTTTTTTTTTCGAAATTCGGAAAAATTTTGGATTTTTTTTTTAGTTTTTCAAAAAAATCAATTTTTGAAATTTTTTGGGTCAAAAACCAAAAATTTTGAAAATCCGAGATAGCAGTTTTGTAGCGCCGCTTTTTGTCTACTAGACCATATAAAGAACTTTGAAATTGCTTGATAATTGTAGATTTGGTGAGCGTTTCAAGATTGCATGTTTTTTGCTCATTTTTGCTCCAACATGACCTCAGTTTGACCTCAATAACTCCTGACCTAAGGTGACCTAAGACTTGAAATTTGGTGTGAAGGTGTCAAATGGATGCCCGGGAAGGTACTGAAAATTTTACGGCGCTGCGCGCCGCCGTTTTCTTGCTATTCAGGAAAAACCACAGGGGGGGGCCAAAATGGCCCCCCCCCGCGGGGCGAGGGTTAAATCGGAAATATTGAATTTCAAAATTGCAGCATTTTGATTCAGAGGGGCTAATGCATAGGAATACCCATCTGAATGTGTGACGTCAGCGCAGATTTCTAACGATTTTTAAATGTTTGACTAAAACGTTTTGTAGCACGCGGCGGTATATGCTACTTTGCGCGCAACATCTGCCGCGAACGCCGCACTTCCAAAATGAAGTCGCTAGGAACAGCGGAGATCCAAAAAAAAGTAAACAAAAGTAAAAGTCTAATATCTTGAAAACCGGTGAATATTTTTCGGTGAAATTTGGTACGTATTCGTTTTTGCTCTTTCTGAATCGAGCGACATCACTTTCATGCTAATTCATTAACTTTTTTGAAGGTGGGAGGGTCCCTTTAACCCCTTGCAAGGGCTTGTGTAGGCATGCGATGCGCATCAGGCTTCAGGCCTTCGGCCTAAAGTCAGATACACAACCACTTAACCTATGATGCTTCATGAGCTTGAGAATCTATAGCCCATTGCAATGTGCTTTTGGCTATATGTTTCAACTAAAAACAACTGATTATATACTATTTGGTTGCATTTCACTCAAATTATCCACGGCCGGCTGACGGCTGGCTGCCCACAGTTTGCCACGGCTGTGGGCGGCTGTGGCTGTGGAGCCACGGCTGCGGGGCGGCTAGGCTGTGGAAAATTGCAGCCGTGCAGAACTCTAGAATGCATATTGTCTCGACCGACGCAAGGTTAACCCGCGCACCGACGGGGGGGGGGGGCGGATATCCGCCCCCCCTGAGGTTTTTCGCGGATAGCGGGAAAACCGCGGCGCGTAGCGCCGCGAAATTTGGTATGACTATACCATCATCAATTTTACACATGGTGTGCAAGTTTGAACCTCCTAACTTTTAAGGTCAGGTCACCAGGTCAATTTGAATGATCCAACCTCATGTCACTTTTTTGCAACTTTGTCACCGTGCCAGAGCTACAGTAGATGTCGGAGGCCTTTGAAAGTCGCAGGATGTTATTAGGTCATTAGTAGCTACAATTTGTATATCTCGGAATTTTGATGTCGGTGACCTAAGGTCAGGTCAATTTCGCGACCTCCCCATTATAAGTCAATGGGGGAAAAATCAACTCCCTGTTTTTACCACTAAAACGGGTCGGAATGGCCCCATTTACCATACATGACTTCACATACGATCAACCTTCACTACCTTGAGGTCTGTTTTGCTGTTGGGCAGCTGTAAGGTCATGTGACGTCATCAAAGGTCAGCAAAGGTTTTTTGCCAATAACTCCTTACAGGAACAAGATACAGCCGCGCGGATGGTCTCATTGTGTTCAGCTCGTCAAGACGCATCGAATGATATGCATGATGACCTCGAGGTCACGTGACCTGAGGTCAACCTTTGACCTTGACCTTTCGAGGTCAACATATATATATCATTCGATGCGGATTGACGAGAGGATCACGATGATGCGCTTAGTTTGTTCCTATCTTGACTACTTCGAAAGTTATTCGAGAAAAACCCTCTCCATATCTAGCGCCGCCATTTTGGCTTTTTCGACCCCTGTGACGTCATCTTTGACCTGACCTGAAAATGACCTTTGTAAAAATTGTAGACCTTGTCCGTGCGTATCCGATGCCGTTTACCGCTTGTCGCTATCTTGCTTCGTTCTCGAGATCTCAGGGGGGGGGGCGGTCATCCGCCCCCCCCCCCGTCGGTACTAAGTTGGCGCAGACCCCCGTCGGTGCGCGGGTTAACAGTCCTCTCAAGAGATGGCGCTGCAAACGAGTTGCGGAAAACCGATACAGAGAGCATGGCACCATGGCCACAGTTAGAGAGATACAGCCAACAGACTTACAGAATAGGTTGAGGAATAGCTGAAGTTTCGAGGTATATATTTGAAAATAATTAATTACATGATATTTGTGCTCAAAACTCGCGTGCAGTGAAAATGTAGCGAAAAACCCGGTTGATTAATTGGCTGCGGCGACGCGCAACCTCAACCAAAAAAATTGAAAAAATTCACACAGTCTTCTTGTGACATGCTCCGTAGGAATTTCGGTCTTCATTTTGTGTCCTCGAAAAAAAAGTTCTCGGATGACCCGCCCTAAATTCTTCACGTATCTATTCTCGCTATGTTCCTCGCTAAAGCACTTCACACCATTAATTAAATATCAGACATTAATCACAGATATATTGTCACAAGTCCAGTCCCCCCCCCCACCCCCATAGCTCAGGCCAGAATATCCCCCGGCTCCAGAACGACCTTCAGACGACCTCTGGTCACCGAAGGTTCCAGAGGCGAAACCAATCAGCGGCTGCCCTGGCGTCACAGCGCCAGCCAATCAGCAGCCGCCATCACGCTGCACACAAGCAGTTGCCGCAAGCTCGGCTTATAGCACACGGCGCGTGACCTGCGGCCGCGGGCGCTCGCAGCGGCAGAGTCCCGAGTCCGACTCAGTCTTGGAGCAGCAGTCCAGCGCCAACATGTAGCCGCCCGAGCGATAGGCGGCGGCACAGGAGGAGCCCTCCTACACTACTTTTTCAGTCATTCAATTGGCTATATCTCAGGCAGTTTTAGATATATTTTGTTAATTTTTGGCATGTGTAAGGCCAGTAAGGGGTTCTCTAACATATATTCCGTTTTGTTTTTTTAATTTCCCGAAGTTTCAAAAATATCTCAAGAAACCTAAATTTTGAGTTAGAAAGTCCCTAGATCAATATATTTTTATATTTTGGAAATTTTGAGATAACCATTTTTGTTTTCCATGCCTTTTTTATACCTACGGTCCAATTTTTTGGTCACTAGATTAAAACCCTGATTTTCTGCGATTTTTCTCCGTGAACAAATTTTTCGACGACAAATCGCCGAAAATGACCTCAGTTTGACCTATATAGCTCGTGACCTGAGATGAACTGGGACCTAATTTTTCAGGAGTTGTGTTAAGTTCATGTCCGCAGAGGTACTGAGAGTTTCAAGTCGAAATTCGCAGCCGTTTCTGAGTTATCTACGAAAAACCACAGGGGGGCCCTTTAACCCCGCCCCCAACGGGTCGCGGGTTAAACTTATACTGCGGCTTTGGTCGTTTTGCGTATGCCAGCCTTTTTATGATACGGGCCACAGCCACCCCAACTGCGCTGGTGCTGGAGCTCTGGTGTTCTACCCCTCCCCGCTACGGACCGGCCCCCGGGCTAGGTGTGTTACCACTGAGCGCAAACGCGTAGTAATCACGTGACTTTCATTCACGTAGAGGGAGCGTAAGCAAGTGGCGATACCAAGGACGGGATCTAGGGAGGCAGCCAGCACAGAAAGAATATCGCGATTTTAGTTTTGGAAGAATATCTATGACGGTAAGAGGAAATATGCATAATCTTCATCCTAGAAGCAGACATGTGTTATTCCTTTATAGTTTGCGCTATATTTTCTTTCTCCAATGGCCACCAGCTAGCAAATAATAGGACAATCGTAAGTTGGTAATATACTCGTATGTGTGCATAAGTAACTGCGGGTCACTGTACCTAAAAGCGGTAGTGCAGCCGCAAGGTGGGGTGTTGTTCCTTCTCCCCAGAATGGCGCAGGTTAACGTCATTGCTTCCTTTTCTAGGCTCTTCCACGTGGAAAGGTCGAAAAGTTTTTACTATATCGCGATGGAGCTAGCTTCCGGTACGGTGGAAGACTACGTGAACGGAAAGCTCACTAAAAAGCTTGATGAAAAGGCCATTCTTCGAGACTCATCCATCGGGCTTCGCTGGCTCCACGCCCATGGTATCAGTAAGTAATAATACTAATAATACCTAGTCCGACTCGCAATCATAATAAGGGTGTTTAACTTATGAGGAATATATGCTAGCGTAAATCCAGTTAAGTACGTTGAGGGCATTCAGCCAGATAAATGGCAGAGTTATAGGAGCATGAGACACCGCGACCAAAGGGAGCTGAGAATCGTTTTGGTTTTCAGTGTAGGTCGGTTTGTTGAGAATTGTGGACATTCGACTTGAAACTCGCCGAAATTTGGCTTCCTGGTGAGCCGCCCTTTGTCCTGACCAAAACAGTGACTGATGCAATTTCGTCATTTTTTTTAACGTTCTTTCGAGCGCCTTCTACCTCGTACACGTGGTCTAGAAACGGAGAAACGGAGAAACGGAGGGGGAAGGGTATTTAAACATTGCCTCCCCTATGCAGGGCGTCAGAGCCCAGCGAGTCGCAGGTGAAAATAAACTCATAATACATTTTTTGTTTAGTTCATAGGGACATCAAGCCATCGAACATTTTGCTGGTTGAGCACGAGAGAGATAGAATCAGGGGTAAACTCGCCGACTTTGGGATATCCAAGGACCTGACAACGAGTGGATGGACAACGGGTGCCGTCGTTGGAACTTCGGGCTGGATGGCTCCGGAGACATTGACGCAGGCATCGAGCAATGAAACAATCGTAAGTACCCATAATACCCGGTCATCTGGGCTTACTGCAATGTAAACGTTGTCTTTATTATTATTACATAGACGTATTGATATAAATGGGAAAGGCAATGGGAACGTGTTGTTTTTATATTAAAATTGGTTACACATGTGTTTCGGGAATAATCCCTTGATCACACCATATAAAAGTAACTACCTATATCGAAATACAATCGAGGTCGAACGGGGTCGAATGGGGACGTTCACAGACACTCACAGATTAGCAATTCTAAACATGACTGAAAACGTTACACTGCTTTTCGCCCGGAACCCCTACTTCCTGAAATCATTTTTCAAAATTAATTGAGCAGTGTGCTTGCTGAGTTTTACTTTACCCGAATTCCCATTGAAATTACTAATCGTAGAAATAAACGCTGCTTCCACCGCCTGTCGGTTACGCTTATTTAATCCCACGCATAGGTTTGACATCGCCGACCAGTTTGGCAAATGCCCCGCGTCATCCACATGCTGCACTATGGCGTTAGATTCTTGGTGATTCCGCAAATCTCTTATGTGTTCCTCTACCCGTTTAGCTGCACCCCTGTATGTTTCCCCTATGTAGCTTTTTTCACAAACGCCACATGGAATTTTATAAACCACACTGTTTTGGTTGCTTGCTTTCTTCTTGGTCCGTAAAATATCCTTAATTGTTGAACCCGATGGAGAGGTAATGTTTAAGGCTCCCCTGGTAAAGCTTGTGATCACTTCAGATTGTTCTGACAGAGGTACTGATATATATTCCTTTCTTTTCGTGGCATTTGAATTGGAGGATCTTGAGCGGATCTTTAACTGAAGGAGAAGACCCAAAGGGTAGCTGAGTTTGGTAAAAGTTGTCCTAATGTACTCTAGCTCGTTCTGTAAATATTCCTTTGAACAGATGCGAAACGCTCTGAGATAAAATCCCAAAACGACTCCAGTCTTCGTTCTTTGACTGTGCGACGAATAAAAGTGGATAAAGTCATTCTTGTTGGTCGGTTTCCGGTATACGGAAAACATCAGTCTTGATTCTCGGTTCCAAATCAGTGTGTCTAGAAAAGGGAGCTTGCCATCTTGTTCCTGTTCGCAGGTGAACTGTATTTTCAGGTGCACGTCGTTGAGCTTTCGAAGAACACTGTCTAAATCTTGTTGCTTGTTCACTATAACCAGAATGTCATCCACGTACCTTAGCCATGTGGTGCTTTGACCGACGATGTTCAGAAAATGATCCGTTTCTAACGTTTCCATGAAGATACACGCGAGCACAGGACTAAGAGAGGGAGCCCATCGCCAGACCGTCTATTTGTTTGTATTCATTGCCTTCAAATTCCAGGGCGCCAAACTCAACGCAAAGTCGGACTAGGCGAATGAAGTCCGCTTTCGGCACTGGCAGTGCAATGTCCTGGTTATCGTCCAGTGCTCGTCTTACTGCTTCCATGGCATCTTGTAAGGGGACATTTGTGAAAAGCGATTTCACATCAAAACTTGCTAGTTTTTTGTCATTCATTCTTTCATCCTTTATTCTGTTCAGCAAGTCACCAGAGTTTCGAAGGTGGGTTCCGCTTGTTTTTCCCAAAAGGTCCGATAGCGGCTTAGCAAGCTTTTTGGCCAGCTGATGCGGCGCGCTTCCCACACCCGAGGTTATAGGGCGCATTGGGTTCCCCGACTTATGTGTTTTTGGAAGGCCATACATACTTGGGGTGATCGGTTTCTCTTCCAGCAAATACTGAAGCTTCTTACCCTCTGTGGAGCCGTTCATAATCTTCCTCACTTTTTGATTGAAACGCTTGGCGTCCTTCTCTGCGCTGCCCTTGGGTACTTCCTTGTAGGTAGAAGTGTCGCTCAGTAAATCGGACATTTTAGTCTTGTAGTTATCATAGTCCATTAACCCTCGCCCGCACATGGGGGGGGGGGTGGTTGCCACCCCCCCCAGGTAGACTTTCTGCTCTGCACTCAACATTTTTAGAGCTAGAAGGCTGATTTTTCGTATAGCTGCTCCTCTATCCTTTCTTGATGTCCACTGAAAATTTCAAGTTTCTGTGACCTTTGGTTTCGGAGGTATGACCTTGTTTTTCAGGTCATGTCATGACCCAAATGGCCAATTCTCGACATATTGCGTTGGCTATGGGCCTTGTGAGCTTTTGACACCTTGATTTCGGCCTTTTTTTACCAGTCTTACCTCCCACCCATCATGGAACATGTTGTTCGACGATGTACAGATGTCAAGGTCAAGGTCAAGGTCAACCTAGGTCATCTAAGATAATTGCGTTTTAGGCAAGCGGAATTTACTTTTTGTGAAGTTTTTTGACTGCATTTTTGGTAAAAGCTTCTCAGATCATGATTTCATGTAATATGGACACATAAACAATCGGTGCACACATCAGTATACACACAGACACACACAGACATACAAACACATATAATTGACCTTGACCTAACTTGACCTGAAATGACCTCAGCAGCAAAAACCTGGTCGGGTAGTGTGAGAAAGAGGTTCTAGCTGGCTTGGCACCAGAAAACGACATCGTTATCGGTATATGATAAGCAGCGCACTTGATATCCAACGGTGACCCAAAACAGCAACATTTTTTAGTTTGACCTGACCTCGAAGGTCAATGACTGACCTGAAAAGGTAAAACTGGGTATCATTGGATTCGTCTCTTCCCAAAGAATCTTTTTGGTCTTTACTGCTAAGCTCTATCTCCAACAGGAACGAAATGGCGCGGGGGGGGTGGCAACCACCCCCCCCCCCCATGTGCGTTCTAGGATGGGAAAATGGCATGTGCGGGCGAGGGTTAATACTACTCCAGCTCCCTTATCTGCCGTGGTCACAATTATGCTTTCGTCTTTAGCAAGATCTTTGAGTGCGCTTAGATACCGTCGAGGCATAGAAGAGTTAATGTGCTTGGAGAATGCTGCGCAGCTGGTCGTAAGCCCTTGGATAAAGCCCTTGTCGATATCAGTATCGTTGTATCTATAGTTTTTCATAACTGTTTCTACCAGAGGCTGCTTATTAGATCCCATCGCGAACTTCAGACCTAGCGACAAGACTTCAGTTTCAGTTTCAGACAGAGCTCTGCTCGACAAGTTTGTTATCAAATCACGGTTTCCCACATTCTTCCAAGCGCTCTCTTCACAGAGCTGGGTCACCAACGCCTGAAGATGCGCACGATGATCCACAGCTTGTTGTTGAAGAATCTCAACCATATGATGAGGCAGCTTAATACCACCCAGTCTGCTCTGCAAAACGTTACGGTGGTCACGAAGGCTACGTACCGCGTCTTCCAAGTACGCTCTAGCACTTTCTGGAAATGGGTGCGCATTTCTCTTCAGCTGTTTTGGAGCTGATCGTGGTAGAACTTGTTCTTGTAGGCAGTCTAATAGAAAAGCTAATCTGTTCTGTGCCCTATCAATCTGTTCTGTGCCCTATTAATCTGTTCTGTGCCCCCCCCCCCCCCCACTGCCAGTGCCGAAAGCGGACTTCATTCGCCTAGTCCGACTTTGCGTTGAGTTTGGCGCCCTGGAATTTGAAGGCAATGAATACAAACAAATAGACGGTCTGGCGATAGGCTCCCCTCTTAGTCCTGTGCTCGCGTGTATCTTCATGGAAACGTTAGAAACGGATCATTTTCTGAACATCGTCGGTCAAAGCACCACATGGCTAAGGTACGTGGATGACATTCTGGTTATAGTGAACAAGCAACAAGATTTAGACAGTGTTCTTCGAAAGCTCAACGACGTGCACCCGAAAATACAGTTCACCTGCGAACAGGAACAAGATGGCAAGCTCCCTTTTCTAGACACACTGATTTGGAACCGAGAATCAAGACTGATGTTTTCCGTATACCGGAAACCGACGAACAAGAATGACTTTATCCACTTTTATTCGTCGCACAGTCAAAGAACGAAGACTGGAGTCGTTTTGGGATTTTATCTCAGAGCGTTTCGCATCTGTTCAAAGGAATATTTACAGAACGAGCTAGAGTACATTAGGACAACTTTTACCAAACTCAGCTACCCTTTGGGTCTTCTCCTTCAGTTAAAGATCCGCTCAAGATCCTCCAATTCAAATGCCACGAAAAGAAAGGAATATATATCAGTACCTCTGTCAGAACAATCTGAAGTGATCACAAGCTTTACCAGGGGAGCCTTAAACATTACCTCTCCATCGGGTTCAACAATTAAGGATATTTTACGGACCAAGAAGAAAGCAAGCAACCAAAACAGTGTGGTTTATGAAATTCCATGTGGCGTTTGTGAAAAAAGCTACATAGGGGAAACATACAGGGGTGCAGCTAAACGGGTAGAGGAACACAAAAGAGATTTGCGGAATCACCAAGAATCTAACGCCATAGTGCAGCATGTGGATGACGCGGGGCATTTGCCAAACTGGTCGGCGATGTCAAACCTATGCGTGGGATTAAATAAGCGTAACCGACAGGCGGTGGAAGCAGCGTTTATTTCTACGATTAGTAATTTCAATGGGAATTCGGGTAAAGTAAAACTCAGCAAGCACACTGCTCAATTAATTTTGAAAAATGATTTCAGGAAGTAGGGGTTCCGGGCGAAAAGCAGTGTAACGTTTTCAGTCATGTTTAGAATTGCTAATCTGTGAGTGTCTGTGAACGTCCCCATTCGACCCCGTTCGACCTCGATTGTATTTCGATATAGGTAGTTACTTTTATATGGTGTGATCAAGGGATTATTCCCGAAACACATGTGTAACCAATTTTAATATAAAAACAACACGTTCCCATTGCCTTTCCCATTTATATGTAAACGTTGTCATCATTACTTAACCCTCGTCCTGGCAGGGGGGGCCGATGCGACCCCCCCCCCTAAGGTTTTTCGAAGACAGCGTAAAAACGGCGGGCAACCTTTTTATATATGACCTGAAAATTTCAGGTCCGAGTGACCTTGGGTCAGGTCACCAGGTCAGACAAACCGGTACAAGGTCATGGTCAAATTTCAATTTTCTTTTTGCACCTGTCCAACTCA